ATGCACTAGGAGGGCAGCCCCGGTTCTCTTCTGCATCTTGGGGGCTTGGGGTACAGAGCCCTAGTTGAAGTGTGCCTCACTTCCAGTGCCAGAGCTCTGTGATGACCTCCTTGCTACAAGTGCTGAACAAATTTTCCATTTAAGTTGCAAGAAATTCAACCCAGTGCTGCAGATCACCTGAAAGAAGGCCTCTCTCCATTCTTGGCACTTCCTGACATACCAGCTTCGTGGTTGCATCTCAGCCTCATCCTTTCCCACACTTTGCCCTTAATGTGACGCTCTGTGAATTCTGATAGTCGTCTTCCTTCTGCGTCATTGATCTGAAGATAAAGCAGGACATGCGCTGGGACCTTGGAAGAAGTGTGGACTCACAGCCACCTCCTATCAGCAGGGTGGCCTTGAGCTGGTGACTAAGTCTCTCTATTTGGGTTTTCCCAGCTGTAAAATGGTAACACTGTCTAACCCCAGGACTGGGAGGATCCACAGGAGGATCGCAGGGAATTTGGCAGAAGGCACTCCACCAGCACTCCCTTAGAGAGATGGGGGAGCTGGGGACCACAGGGCTTAGAGTCCAGCCACTGAACCTGCCCACACACTTTGCCACCTTCTTCAGCTGCTTCATCTGAAATGGGCGTGATGGTTCTTACTTCCTGAGGTTGCTGGGAAGAGTGAGGAAGGCACTAAAAAAGTAGAACTAAGCTTGGCATACTGTAGGTGTTTAATAAGTGTCATCTCTTTTCCTGCTCTTCCTACTTGGATTAAGGCATATGACTATCACAGAGCAGGCTTGAGAACAGGTTACTAGAATATGAAAAATGGCCTGTGGCCATCCTATTTTCTGCTGTAGGCAATTTCTTGATGTCCTACACCTCCATTTTCTTGTCCTTAAATAAGATTAGAAACATCACCCTCCTTACCTCCCAAGAGAGGTTGAGTTGAAAATTAAGTGAAGCAATCAAGGTGGATTTCTATACAAAGATGCAAGGTATTAACACCGACACCCAAGGTTTAGGTCACTAACCATCAATCACAAAGCAGAGCCTTCTTTCTCCCTGGCATTATAGGGATTCAGTCACATCTGGGGAAATAGCTGACTGGTCCGATCACACCTGGAGCACCCATATATTACCACAAAATATGTATTTTCATACGTTAATTAGGATCCAGCAATCAATACTGGGTTGGAATATGAAACTGAATCTCTAATGATTGCTACCAAGCACCTTACCCCAGCCTGGGTTTATGACAGGGAGCTCACCACTTTCAAGACTTATTCCACACTTGTGTGTTTGAATGCTGCAAAGCTTGCTCTCTGTCTCCTACCCCTTCAGCAGATGGCAAAGTCATTCAGGCTGGGGACTCTGAAACCAAACTCCCAGACCCAAAGTTGGTTTCTACTGTCTCTTGGCTGTGCAACTTTGTGACTCACCCTTTGTGTGCCTCAGTTTCCTCATTTGGAACTAATAATGTTTGGAAGGTTAATACTTATCTCCCAGAGTTGTTTTGAGATTTGTTGTAGTAATGTGGAATGCTCTTAGAACAGTGCTGGCACATAAGAAGGACTCGGGAAATGCCAGCTGTGATTGTTATGCTGTGATTTATTTTCCCATTTGTGAAAGTATAAAAGTTGAAGAATGATTAAAACACATTAAAAGTAGATATGCCAGGCAGAGAGATAAATGAACTGTTTGTATAAACATGAATTAAGAGAGAGTCACACTCAAGTAAGAACTGTCCTCTCCTGAGAACAGCAAACATCTGGGAAGAATTAAAAGGGAGGAGGGTGGAGTGTGAGCCGAGAACACTCGGTGACTGTTGGAAGGAGATAATTCACTCTGGAGTGTGTAAATGATCCCAAAGGAAGGCCTCTGCTTAGGCAGCATGAGCAGAGGCCCCCAAAATACTTACCTTTCCACAATGAGCTGACTAGTCTAGATACCTGACTCTATCATCCTGGTGAACTAGTGCATTGCCTTGAAGAAGCCACTTTTTAATGGAATCGTACTGGTAACAAGGTACCATTTTACATCTATGAAATGAACAATAAGAAAATTGTAATATTGCAGTGAGGTTGCATTGAAAAATCCACAGTGTAAATATGATTAGCATAACTTGGGAAAAGTGATATAGCTGAGCGTCTTTAGAATCAAAAAAGTCCACACCTGTGACCTACTAATCCAACTTCTGGGAATTTATGACTAGGAAAATTTTCAAGAAAGGGAAACATTTCTGCATTTATGTACCATGATTGAAAAGATTCCACAGGAACGAAATGGGTAAATTATAGTGTGTTCCCACAGTCATCAAAATTATACTTACAAATAACGGAGAGAAGGGTGGGAAATGCTTGTGCTCATGACCTGAGCTTTGGGCAAATGTGGCCTTAAACCAGCACTGTGACTTCAGTCAAGGAGCTTGCACTGGGTCTCTCTGTCACTTACAATCCCGATGTCAGAAGGTTCTTACTTCAGAGCCTTCCTACTTCTGATGAGTAGCTCTGTGTCTGAGCTCCAGGGCAATCCTGAGCAGAGAGAGGCTGACAGGAAAACATCGTACTTTCTGTTCTCCATCTTCCATACTTGTCACCCAGTGTGGGTGGAATGTGGAGCTGACTGAGGGGCCTCAGTCCCTTCATCTGTAGAATGGGGCAAAGTCCAGTTCATCAGAGACTTCCGAGACCCAGCCCAGTGCTCCAACTCTGCAAAGTCCTGATGGAGCTGAGCAGGGCCACTTGGGCCTCTCCCTAAAAGTCTCATACCCAGAATGAAGAAATTCTGGGTCCTTCCACCATACTCTGCCCACACCTTTAATTAAGCATCACCTTTAAGGTTAGGTTGACAAACTAGAGGATGTGCACAAGAGGGGAGGATACATGGAAGCTAAACGTAGTTTTGAAAAAATAAATGAGGGCACTGTAGATTTTTAAGTCAGAAAACTTATCTTCTATCAAGGACATGGTAAGTGTCTCTGAAATTCTGAAGCACTGTCTTGTCTTCAAAAAAAAAAAATTACTAGCTCTATATTCTACCAAAGGCAAGATCGGTGGGTAGAAATTCCAGGGAAACCAACTTCAAGTCCCATAGAACATTGCAGAACTGACTAGAAGTGGAGAGACTGATATAAGCAGAATCTGGATGACCACTTGACAGTGGGAAGAAGTTCAGGCAGGGCTCCAAGGCCCCATAAACTCTGTGTGCCTCAGAACCTAATCGGAGTGACTTGCCTCCTCCAGGAAGGCCCCCACAAATGCTGTCCAGAGACAGTGCTGATGGATTGCGCAGCAAGTCTCCATGTAGCCCAACCTCACAACCTGTTTTCCCCTTCCCAATGTGAAGTCCTGGAAGAGAACGTACTCTGTCTGAATTTTCCCATTGTTTCAACAAGCCTGGTACCAAGTTCCCAGTTTTCTTGGTTCCAAGATTTCCAAGGCAGAATTCTCTGGGAGTCTCATCTTCTCTCAACTCCAACAAGTCCCACACTTGCTACTGGTTTGCATTTGCTAATGTCCAGGGCAGAGCGGGGGAATAAGTGTCCCTAAATGTTCCAGCCCCCAGGTTTGCAGTGCAGTCCACAAACTCCCAGGAGACACTGGGATCCTAGAATCAAGTGAGTAAAGTCCCTCTTCTTAGTGTTGTGAAACAGCTGTTTATGACCAAGAAGAGGAAGCTCTCCAAGAGGAAAGGGTGAGGTCACTGGGATAGCTGGTTTTTGCTGAGGAAAATAGGGAGCCTAGAAGAAGGGTGGGAAGATGCGGAGGAGGGAGGGCTTAGATCTGAGAGCAGTTCCCATCTGCCCAGAGGAGCCATGCCACAGCAGGAGGGAGTGAGACCTTGAACTCAGCAGGTCATATGACAAGCACTGTGGCCTTAACCCTGGCTACATCTGCTGCCAGAATAGGTGTGTTCCTTTAGGCAGCTCTGGAGCAGACTGGGGGGAAACTTAGGCTCTAGAGCAAGTCCTCTGAGTTAGGATTACTTGCTGTGCTAGTTCAGGCAATGTTAGCAGGTCTAACTGAAAGTGGTTGTGATACTGGTCCTGGCCTAATCCATTTGGGCTGCTATAATAAAATACCTCAGCCTGGATAATTATAAACAACAGAAATGTATTGCTTACTGTTCAGGAGGCTGGAAGTCCAAGGTCAAAGCACCAGCAGATTCAGTGCCTGGTGAGGACCTGTTTCTTGTAGATGACACCTGTGTGTCCTTACATGGCAGAAAGGGTGGACAACTCTCTTACAAGGTTATAACCTCATTCATGAAGGCTCTGCCCACATGACCTAATAAGCTCCTAAAAGCCCCACCTTCCTTCCCCCCCACAAGGGATTGAACTCAGGGCCTCACACTTGACTAGAGAAGCTCTCTATCATTTGAGTGGTACCCCCAAGACCTTCTTTTTGTTTTTTTGGACAGGGTGTCCCGACATAGCCCAGGCTGGCCTCCAACTGGAGATCCTCCTGCCTCACCTTCCCGAGTGCTGAGATTACAGGAGTACATCACCACCCTCAGCTCCCACCTCTTAATGCTATTACTTTGGCAATTAAATTCCCACAAATTAATAGGGGGGGGGAGGGGAGGCATATTCACATCAATGCAGGAACCTATGTCCTAAAGTTGAAGGAATCACAATACCCAATATCTCACCTTGAACAGCACAAAACTGCCCATATCCAATAACTTTCCAAAGTATAAAAAATAGTTTCAGATGGATGAACCTAATCCACAATGCAGCAGGTCACAAACTCGTCTGCATCTTAGGGTGCAGATGTTGTGGGTCACCCTCTCTGGCAATTCAATCACAATTTCCGCAGGGACAACTAGCCAGGTGATTCTAACCGTGCAAACAGGCTTGAGGACCATACTGGGTGTAGTTAACACAGTGTCTGGGGGATCTACTTGAAGTACTCAATGTCAGTTACCATTGCTTTGTTGACTATTGAGCGCTTACTGTATGCTGGCGGTGCTCACCTCTCCCCTCCTCGTCGTCCTCCTCCTCCTCCGCAGTGTCCAGGCCCCGCAGCAACCCTGATGACCTGAAGGCGCTGACTCGAAACGTGAACCGGCTGAATGAGAGCTTCCGGGACTTGCAGCTGCGGCTGCTGCAGGCTCCACTGCAGCCGGACCTGACGGAGCAGGTGTGGAAGGTGCAGGATGCGCTGCAGAACCAGTCGGACTCGCTGCAGGCGCTGGCGGGCCTGGTGCAGCGCCTGGAGGGCGCGCTCTGGGGACTGCACGCGCAGGCAGCGCAGACCGAGCAGGCGGTGGCCCTGCTGCGTGACCGCACCGGCCAGCAGAGCGACGCGGCGCAGCTGGAGCTGTACCAGCTGCAGGTGGAGAGCAACCGCAGCCAGCTGCTGCTGCAGCGCCACGCGGGCCTGCTGGACGGGCTGGCGCGCAGGGTGGGTGTCCTGGGCGACGAGCTGGGGGACCTGGGTGGCGCGCTGCGTGGCCTCAATCACAGCCTGTCCTACGACATGGCCCTCCACCGCACGCGGCTGCAGGACCTGCAGGTGCTGGTGAGCAACGCCAGCGAGGACACGCGCCGCATGCGGCTGCTGCACATGGACGTGGAGCTGCAACTCAAGCAGGAGCTGGCCATGCTCAACGTGGTGACCGAGGATCTGCGCCTCAAGGACTGGGAGCACTCCATCGCCCTGAGGAACATCTCCCTCGCCAAAGGTACCCAGTGCCCCTGCGCAGCCCATAGGTCCTCCTCCTATTTCCTATTCTCTCCTGCAGACCCTCCCCAAGGGCCCAGGAGTCCCCCATCCTCAAGCGTCAGCCTTACCCTACAGGACTATTGGAATTTTCCGGCCAAATGACTTATGGCCACTTCCAGGACCTGTTCAGATCTCTTCTCTGGGTAAACCTTCCTAGGGCAGAGAGTGGGACTCCGCCCTAGGCAGGAGAGTGGTCAGGTGTGGCCCTTGGGGTCAGAGCTTGGGTGTGTGTATTGGCTGCAGCCTCCAGGATCTTAGGGTTTGGGGAGAAGAGAGTGGGGCTACAGGCACAGATGATAGGGAGAAGGGCTCCTCCATTTCACATGTTCCTGTGGGTGGATCTCCAAGGAGTTGCCCTCTAGGCTGTTAGGCAGTTGTGTTCACCCAGGTACAAGAACACATTTCATTTAACAATTTGTAACTCTTAATTCTAACAGCCAGGTGTGGTGGTCATGCCTGTAATCCCAGCACTCAGTAAGCACAGGTAGAAAGATCCCAGTTTGAGACCAGCCTGGGCTACATAGTGAGACCCTGTTTCTAAATAAATAAATAAATAAATAATCAAACAAGTGAATACAAATAAAGCAGAGGCAGAAAAGTTGAAAGTTCAAAGTCAGCCTGGGTAGAGGTATTGAGACCCTCTCTCAAAAACAAAATAAATGGCTTACGTGGTAGAGCGCCTACTTTGCAAGTGTGACGCCTTGAGTTGTAACCCGGGCCTGTCTCAAGTAAGCAGTTTTGAGGCTAGGTATCATCTCTAGAACTGCAGGTCGATTTATCAGTCAGTGGGCAAAATGTGTCAACCTCCACTGTACTCTTGCTGCGGTCCCACAAATAGAACCCAGAGATCCAACTTCTCTCTTTTTTACTTCTGGCAAACAGGCCCCACTCATGTCAAGGCAGCCCAATTCATTAAACCCACCTTAGCCTGGTAGCACTAATGATACCATTAGCACACCTGCTGTATGTCAGGTACCAGGCCAAGTACATGTCACACAGCATCTCTCAAATGCAGAACCTCTCTGAGGAAGTAGCACTGGCTGTCCCCATTGTGTTGCTATGGGCACTGAGATTCAGGAAGATTAGACAGCTTGCCTGGGTCTCTGGGTGAGGAAGGAGTGGAGTCAGATATGGACCTTCACTTTTTGATGTCAGCACTCGTGTGCATTCTGTCACCTTCTCTTCTGTCCTGCCTGCCTTCCATTCCCATCCAGGGAGCACAGACAGAACTGTCTCCAGACAAGGGTGCCTCACTCAAACCCACCTTCTCCAAGAACTGCCTCACTTCCCTAGAACACTGGAGCCCTGACTCTGAGCTTCGACAATAATCACAGTGAGAAATAGTCATTCTGGCGCCTTCCATTTGAACAGCCCTTTCAGTTTCTGGAGCGCTCTTGTGTGCACTGTTTTGCTTTAAAGTGGGATCTCATGCCAAGCTGTGAGGTTGGTTTAAGGTAGGGGTAGGAATGTGGAAGGGGTAAGACTCTGGCAGAAAACATCTGAAGCTCAGGGAGAATTGCCTGATTACTCAAGGTCACATGGCTGGTGATGATCCAACCCAGGACCTTTTGTTTTCAACAGATTCAATGAGGTATAATTTACATGCTACAAAATTCACCCCTGTATAATAAGTTCTCAGTTGAATAACCAGACCAGGACATCTAATCCCAACAGCTGACTCTCATTCTGCTGCCTTGCAGTCACCGTTCTGTCTCTTTGTCCCCCAACACTAATGGTGCATTCACCTAATTGGGACCCCGTGAACATTGGGGAGCAACTGTTAAATCAGAGGCTTCCCCTGCCCAGGCTGATTGTCTGGTCCCGGTCACTTGGGCTTTCACCTCTCAGGAGTCAAAGGATAGGAGATAGAATTTCTTCTTCCTCCTCATACTCGTGGGATCTTACTGTTAATAGTACTTACTCTGAATTATAACCTATGATGAGCCAGATTTCTACAGACATTCATTCTCCAAGAGATAGTCAAGACCACTAGTCCTTACATCCTTCAAAAAAGGGATAGTTGTTCCCACTTTATAGATAAAAAGTCAGAATAACGTCCCCACTGTTTCTTATGCAGTTGGCAAGTGGCAAAGCCAAGGTCTAAACTTGGGTCTGTGTGGACAGAAACCAAGGTTGTTATCACTGACATCCTGCTTCCCAGCCATAAGCAATGATGGTGCCTTTTCTCTGTGTTCCTACATGTTGGAAGGGACAAGGCAGCTCTCTGGGACCTCTTTTATAAGGGCACTAATCCCATTCAAGAGGATCCACCCTTATAGCCTAACTACCTCCGAAAGGCTCTACCTAATGTCCCCCACCATGGGGATTAAATTTCAACATACGAATTTGGGGATTGGGCTTGCAACATCCAGACCATAGCTTTGAGCTCATGGCTCTTCACAAATCTTCCACTCATCCCCCTCCTTCTCTCACTGTCACCCTGTGTCTGGTGTCTTCTCCCTTTCCCTCTTCCTTCTGTCATTGTTGCCAGGTACCTAACTGTTACCATTTGGCATATCTGCATGGAATCACCATTCGACTTCAATGAGACAAAACTCTACCTTGGTTTTGGGCATATGTTTTACCAGATAAGCTCGCAGGCATTTCCGTACTGCTTTGTGGAGCGGTCTTTCTGCCCTTGCTCTGTGCAGTTCCTCTCTGAAGGTCTTTACACACACACACACACGTGCATACTCATCTACACATACCTGTGTACATACATACACACATGCACACACCCATATATCTTATACACACACGCAAACGTGTACACACACATATAGACATATACACAAAGAGTACTTTGCTCTTTCCCGGCTTAGATCCACAAATACTCAACTGTGTATTTTTTAGATATGAGTGTATTTACATTATCCTTGAGCTTGGTCCAAATGGTTTTCATTCTCTCACTTCGTTATGCAGTTTTCTGAGTTTTGTCTCTGGTTTATCTTTCACGGGCATTCGCAATGGACTTTCTGTTGTCTGCTTTCGATTTGCAGCATCAAGCAGGTCTGGTGAAATCTGTTTGTGGGTTTCAAAAGTGCAGAGAGCTTAGATTATCGGAGAGGGAATCATCCCAGGAGGAGGAAGGCAACCAGAGGAGGGAGACATGGCAGGGGAGGGAGGTACAGCAAACCCTGGAGGCAGGCCTCCCAGCCATACGCAGATGGTCTGTTTCCTAGAATGCAAGTTTTCTAGAATTCCCCAGGACTTAGAGTAGTAATAGATCTAGTCTAATCCTCTTGGTTCAAAGTTGAGGACCCTGGGGTCCCAAGAGGGGAAATGATTTGCCCAAGTCAAATGCCGAAGCCGTGGCCCAGATGGTTAATGAAAACAAGTTTTCAAAGCAGATTTATCTGGCAGCTGGTTTTTTTTTTTGTTTTTTTTTTTTGAGAAAAAACACCATCTAGTGGAATAGGGAGTTCAGTTCAACACACATCCTTAAGGGACGGTGTAATCAAGCATGGCCTTGGACTGCAGATTGTGGTGTTGAGACTTTGACCTCCAGTTAATAGGGCTGAGCCTCTCTGAATGGAGCCACAGGTAAACCAGTATTTCTGCTGTAGAAAGGATTGTGACATGTGGGTTGGACAGAGGTCTGGGTGGGCTGTGTGGCCTTCGATCCTCTCACCTTCCACAGCTAATTCTGCTTTGCAGTGGGTGGAGGGTCTGCCACGAAAGCCAACAGTCGTAACCGGCCTGCAAAAGCAGTGGGGACTGCTTTTGCCATTGAGGCTCCTAGGACCAATGTCCCTGCACCGATGGGGCCCCAGTCTCCCAGGCTGTGACATAGAACTGATAGTTCCAATCCTGTGCCTTGCTTAAGAGTGGAGAAATGCCTTGAATGAGGAAAGGGGGAAAGCTGTTCCACTGTATAGGAAGTAGATGCCAAGAGCCAGGGAACTGGAAGTCAGCAGTCAAGCAGTCAGTTATGGGTTCTAGGGGGCGGTGTTTTTATTTTTGTGGGTTACTGTATCGCTGGCTTTGGCCTGCTCTTTAGTTGTCCTGATCATTTGTTCTGGGTGGGTCACTCTTCCAATTCCAGCACACACAGGTGTCCTCCCCTGCCTCCCGCCTGTCCATTGCTCCAGGATCTAGGAAGGGAGAAGAGATTGCTTCCCCTTCTGTTGGCTTATCCTCAGGACAGCCCTGGTGCTTCTGCTGAATCCTCAGTCACTGAGCCTTGTGTGGTTACAAGATAAGTCCATGTTGTATCTCACAGCAGCTGGGCAAGGGCAAGACTGCATAGGGTGCAGGCTGGTGGACAGGCCCAGAGAAGGGACCTCAGGACCCTATCCTCCTTACTTCCCTGATAATGGAAAAGATAAAACATCTGACAGTATAAAGAGCCCAGAAGTGAGACGGCTCACTTGGGCACTGCCGGGAGCAACTGATACCATGGCCACTTCTACTGCCCAGGAGCCATTCTCCAAATCCCAACTGTGTGAGGTATAGGGCCCCAGAGAGGCAGTTTCAGCATATAGACAGGCTCGTACACTTTGGAGACCACGGTCTGGAGCAGAAGACAGTGCCCAGAGAGTACACAGAGGCTGCCTGACCAGGCTCAGGGGTGCTCCAATGAGAGCATCACACAGGGATCTCCCAGGCTCTCCCAGCTCCAAGATTCCTTTGCTGCCTTAAGAAATGAGAGGGGTGGGCATGAAGGTGACTTCAGAGCTTAGAGGGACTGGACCTTTGGGAAGGGAAGACATTGGTCTGAGACACTACAAAGGGGGAGGACTCCGCCTCTATATTTTGGAGACATTTATCAGAGAGCAGTGCACAATGGGTTGAAGAGAGAGACCAGACACAAGGAGGTCTTTTTTTTTCTTTTTTCAGTACTGGGGTTTGAACTCAGGGCCTACACCTTCTTCCATGGGCAGTGGTGATCTGAAGAAGGCTCTTCCTCCAGGTTCCTGGCAGCCAGGTCTACGAAGCTCTGGACACACTGTAGGCTCTCCTGAGTCTCATCTGACGATCTGACAGAAGCTGGGGAATGAGTGCCCGCCCTCACTGTCTGCCCCAACTTCTTCCCGTTAATCTCTACCAAGCCCCCTCCACCGCACACTTAGGTTGAAAAATATATATCTTTGTGTAGGATGATTCTTAGATCTGCTTCTCCTTGAATAAACCACCCCAAGTTTGGCAGTATGATTCCAAGTGCACCTTAGATTAATCCTAAACAGTAATTATTTATAGTTCTGATGAAGCTTCATGAAAAGTGGGGTGCAAATGGTCAGGGATGGCCTGTTCTCTGATGGTTACTAAGCCCCGCCATATCCACTGTGTGGCTGTGTCCTTTTACTCCTCACTACGATGGCATGAAAAAAGGATCCTTCTCTATCTTTCATCGAAACAGGACCTGAGCTCAAGATGCCCCATATCCACACTTACCGTCCAAATTCTCTGTACCCCGCCCTGGTGAGTTGTCTCCCTGAGCAGCATCATCCCTATGCCAGGGTTCTCTGAGGTCTGTGCTAGTCAGTTTTCTGTCACTGTGACAAGACACTTGAGATAATCAGCTTATAAACAGAAAAGGTTTATTTGGACTCAGAGTTTTTAGTCCATGGTCAGTTGGCCCAGTTGCTTTGGTGGCTGTAGGGACCATTGTGACAGAAGTGAATGGTGGAAGAAGCTTCTCACCTCACGGCCAGCAGAAAGCAAAGACAGAGAAAGAGAGAGAGAGAGAGAGAGAGAGAGAGAGAGAGAGAGAGAGAGAGACAGAAAGACATACAAAGAGAAGGGGTCAGGGTCACAGTATTTCTTTCAAGGACACACTCCCAATGTCCTTACTCCCTCCAACTTCACCATATCCCAACAGTGACATGGGCTGGGGACCAGGGCTTCATTCAACACATGAGCCTTTGGGTGACACTTTGGATCCAAGCCATAACAGGGTCAGACCTAGATCAGAGTGAAGTGTGTGAGCCACTTGCATCTGTGACCAGCTCAATTCCTGGAGCCCTGAGTTCCTGTGGAGGGGTAGAAAGAGGGTGAGATGTGTGGGACGGGGTCCAGCAACAGAGTTCCATGCACCTCTCTCTGCTTCCCTTGCTGTCCTTGACCTGAGGAAGATTGGGGTGGGGTGGGGGGAGCTGGGGAGCTCGGTAGCATCTTCCCTCTGCCTGTCTTTGCCTGTATAACATAGGCTTGCTCCAAATAGGTCCTGTGTTTCCATCCTGTGGTCTGAGAACTGGGATCGATATGACCAGCTTTACTTTGCTTTTCACAGAAAAGTGGACGATGACTACAAATCCCAACTCTCCTTAAATGCTTTGTGTAACTCGTGAATCTTCAAAATCTTGATTCCTTTTTCCCTGTGCACGTGCCATTGAGTTAAACAGCCGTCGACTTTGGTTAGGGTCTGAGGATGGTGTCAACTTTTGGAATGTATCAGTACATCTCGATCTTGGCAACTGGGTTGTTTTGTGTGAATTAACACCCTCTGATCTCATGGACTCATTCACTCATCAAGCATTTATTGTGCAAGACGTCGCTGCTCTGTGCTTTGGTTTCCTGCAGCAAGCCTGCTCTACCAGAGCACTACGAGCTGGGTGGCTCAACAGTTCTGAAGGCTGCAAGTTGGACCCAAGGTATCCACAGAGCCCTGTCCCCTTGGAATGCTCTGAGTCGGGAGGGCCCTCCCTTGCCTCTTTCTGGTGGCTGCTGGCAGTCTTTGGTGATCTGTGGCTTATACACGCCTCACTCCACTCTCTGCCTCTGTTGTCACCTGGTGTTCTCCTTATGTCTCTGGGTCTATTTACTTCTCTTTTGAGGATGCCAGTCATTGGATTAGGGCCCACTCCACTCCACTCCACTCCACTCCAGTATGACCTCATCTTAACTAATTACATCGGCGAAGACCCTATTTCTTAATAAAAGTCAGGAGGTTTGGGGGAGATATGAGTTGGGGGGCACTATTCAAACCAGTATGTTAGGGTTTAAGAGTTTTTCTTGATCCTTGACTTTCCTTGATTCTTGTTTGCCTCCCAAAGCAGCTGGAGGTGGGCACTGTGACTAAAGAATGAGGCTGTGTGAAGAGCATGTCAGATGGCACCAGGTCTGTGTGTCTACATGGTGGTACCCACTCCAGCTGGAAGGACACAGCAGAGTAGTTTCACCAGAATGGTGACAATGAACATCCCAGGCTGGTATCCCTAGGAGACTGACAGGGAGAGGACCTGGGAACAGCAGGTGTCATGGTGGGTGGCAGGAAGGTGGGAACTGTGAGACATCTGGCCCAATGGGTGCCAGGCAGACCTGGATTGGAACCATAGCTCCTTTACCCCGCTAGCTGGCTGTGTGGCCTCAGACAAGTAACTTTAACACACATTGTAGTCGTGGGGACTAAATCCAGTCACGTCCAGTAGAAGCCCTGGAGCCTTGCCCGGGAAGGCAGCCCCACTCAGGAATAGTTAGAAATCCTCCCCCCACCCAAGTGCCTAGCCAGAGATCTGAGCATGAGACTCAGTCTTCTCCTCCCCCATACTCACCAATGTGAGCCAAGGTCTGTCCTACTTTCTAAACAGTGTCCCCAACATCCCACTGCTGGTCACTTTGCAGCCCAGGGCTCCACACCTCCCACCTGGATGGACTGCAGCCTTCACCTCCCTGTCTCTGGCCTCTATCCTGTTCCACTCACGTTCCACACAGCAGCTGAGCCGTCTTTCTCCTGTGCAGATCTGATTGCGCTCTTCTCTCAGGCCCCTCCTATGGCTTCTGGTGCATTCAGTCAGGTTCAAGTCCAGCACTTAGGCCAAACCCTTGCTTTCCCACCCACTGGGCCCCCAGCTTGTGTCCTGTCATGGCTTTCACAGATCTGTCCTCCCTTTAAGCTCCTAAAGGCATTTCTCCTTCTACTCCAAACCCCTCCCTTTCCACCCTGTCCTAGTCAGCTGGGACTGCCATCATGAAATCCTCATATGGGGGGTGTAGACTACAGGCATTTGTTTTTCCCCAGTCTGCAGGCTGGAAGTCTGAAATCAGGGTATACCTTCTCATTGTTTTCTCCCTTGGAGGAGGGAGAAAAAAGGGAGAGGGAGAAAGGGGGGGAGGGAAAGCATATAGTGTACTAGCTTAAGATCTCTGGTGCCTCTTCTTATAGAGCCTCTAAGCCCATCAGAAGGGCCCCACCCTCATTACTTCATCTAATCCAATCCTCTCTCAAAAGCCCCACCTTCTGAAACCATTATCTTGGGAGTAAGAACTTCAACATATAGATTTGGGAGGGACATAAATATTGAATATTTATTCAATCCATACCCCACCCCAGCCCTCTTTACTTAGCTAGGTACCGTTTCTCCTTGAGATTTCACTTTGGATGCTGCTTCGTCCAGGATACTTTCCCTGGTGCCCCTGCCCCCGCCATGGCTGAGTTAGGTCACATCTTTTGCACTTCCAAAGGATAATGCTGACCCTTCCTTTCATCAGAAGGAATTTTTGCTTCCTCCGCAGACGTGTTGGCCCTATTCCATAAAGCAACCCTCTAACCTTAGGGCTATTTTTATCTTTCAGGGCCACCGGGACCCAAAGGTGATCAGGGGAATGAAGGGAAAGAAGGCAAGCCTGGCGTCCCTGGACTACCTGGGCTTCGAGGTAATGGGGTGCCCTTTTCGAGTCCATCTCTGACCTCTCCTTCCTCATCAGTGTGGAGGACGGGTGTCTACCAACTTGGCTTCCAGTGGCCCTAGTCCACCAAGAGACCAGGAAGTCATCATGTCACGATAGGACGGAGCAGATACCTTTTCTTAGTAAGTGTCAGGTTCTGAAGGAAAGAGTACCTGAGAGCCCCAGAGCTCCCTCAAGCCACTCCCCACCCAGGAGCCAGGTTCGCATGGCCAGGATTTTTAGGGGAGGTGTTCCGCAATGCAGACTAGCCCTTGGAAGGTACTGCTTTCCATCAGTGTTCCAAATCCTCCACCAGGCCCCCAAAGCCCCCTGCCCTATCTCACTTCCTGCTGAAACTTCCCAGGTCTGTGTGAGCTGTGAACACCTCCAGCTCCCCACCCTGATGCCCAAGTGACAGCCCTGAATTCACAGTGGCTGGTGGGAAGGGCACTTTGGGGACTTCTGGAAAGACTGTGCTCTCCTTAGACACATTGTCTCAGAAGGTCCTGTGCAGTTAGGGTACCAGACCTTGCATATGAATTTATGGATTCCTGAGCCTGTACTGGAGGTACACCCTCCTAGGAGGGTGTAGAGCTGAAAAGCAAGGCAGAGAAAGGAAGCATGGGGGAAAGGTGTCTGGTTGTTTATTTTAAGAATTTTTATCTGCTGAATCTCCAGGGACATTGCCAAAATAGGAGGGAAGGCAGGGGCTGGAGAAGAACCCCAGGGTGGCCTCCACTCCAGCCTCCCCCTCAGGAGCTCGGGAAACTCAGAATTGCGGATGCCCAGGGCCTCTCCAGTGGTAGAACCACTTTTTCTGCCTAATGAAAGAGAGCTTAGGGGACATCCTTCCTTAGGTTCAGAGTTCTGTGGCCACAGGGCCATTGGACTCTGGGAACAGATACAATGTGTCAAGAAGGGAAAAAATGTCCTTCCATTTCTGGAGGCCACTGTCCTCTCCTCTTCCAGCCCTTTGATGTTATCCCTGGAGGATTAATTACTGAAAGATAGGTTTCTTGTGCATGGGGCAAAAAGCCCAAAACAAACCAACTAGCTCTCCAAGCAGGAAAGAACAATTAGCCAGTTGATGAAGAGAGCCCTGTCTTGCAGCAATGACTGTGGGCTTAAGTCAGGTCTCTGGGGGCCCTGGGCTCTCACTTGCTGAAAGTGTTTGTTGATTCTGGCTCTCCATGGCACAATCAATGCAGGCTATGGCCATGGGGCCTGGTGGCCAGGAGCCCAGGGTCTGATTAGGCAGTGAGCCATGAATCCATTGATTGCCCTTGCTGACATCCTGGTCCTTCTCAGCCTCCAGTCCTCTTTGCTATACCTTTGTTTATGGAAAGGAAGAGACCGTTTTATTCTTTCTTTAAATAGGATGAGGCAGTATTTCATCTTCCCCCTTGTCACTAGTGTAAGACCTTGGATCCAGTAAGCTGAAGGTGACCAACCACAAACTTACAGTTCAGAAGAGAGATCTCAGATCCCACACACTCTTTGCTGTGTGCTCTTCTGCAGGTTACCTAATCTCTGTGCACCTTAGAGTCTTCATTTGTATTATTATAGGTAAAAGAGTATGTCCTACTTTGTTGTGAGGATCAAATGGGATTTTTTTAATGCTTAGTATATAGGAAGTGATCCAATAAATGTTTGCTGAATCTAAAGCTTCCTCAAACCTGTAGGTAAAGAGACATCGAAGTGGGGTTGGCACAACCATCATTACTCACATCAGGACTGCGTCTTTTGGGGGGGAGGGGCCAAGCCTAAGTGGGAAGGTTGGTGCTGACCTGTTTGATGTTGTTTTTGTGGCATCTTTAAATTACCTAAGAAGACACAGGAAGCAGCAGCTGTGGAGGATGCATGGCAGGGTCAATCGTTGAACTAGACAATAACCTGTGAGGGGCCTTGCACTTCTGAGTCTACACCTCTCCCTTTGTCTCTTCTCTCCCCAGGTTTCCCAGGGGAAAGAGGTACCCCAGGACTGCCTGGCCCAAAGGGTGATGATGGGAAGCTTGGAGCCACAGGCCCAATGGGTATGCGTGGGTTCAAAGGTAATAGCAAATTTCAATGCCCCTTAGAGCTCTGCCCTGCCAGCCACCAGATAGCACACAGGCATTGGAGTGGGTGGATCATGGGTTTTGCCGCTGACCAGCTGAGTGACCTTGGGCAAATGCCTTTGTCTTTTTAAGCCTCAGTTTTCATCTGAAATATAGAAATCCTTGTGTTGCCATATTCCACAGGGCCATCGTGAGGTATACATAAGTAGATGCGTGTGAAACGCTCTGCAAACTCTAAAGTCTTTGTGGAGTGCAGTGGGTGTGGCTACAGGTTGCAGCCCAGAGATGTAACTGGAGGAAGCTGGAGAGGGGTCCCCCAGGACTAGTTCTGATGGCCCCCCTCACTAGTTCTGCCAGACTCCTCACCTTCTGCAAGACTCTGTGTTCCCCTAGTATTTACGACTTTAATTCACTTCCCAGGTTTCTGTTGTTAACAGTGTTTCCTCTGATATTTTCTCTTCCTATGGACAGTCCCTCATTCAGTTTTAGGGGACTTCAGAGTCAGTCCCTGTTTTTCCATTTCCTTTCAAGATTTTCAGACCCACATCATTCGTGCAGAACACAAAGCTGCATGACGCTCTTTCCCTAGGCTTCCTACCAGTTCACTGGTTACCATGACAACTCAGAAAAAAGTACCGCTAATCATTCCCACCCCGTGTTTGGGATGGTCTCTTGATCTTGGATCATTGGGAAATCTTATTCTACTTTCTGTTTGGTGATGAAGCAGGCTAAGATTTCTCTTTCTCTTGTAATCCTCATTTGAAAATTTTAATTTTTAAATGATTATAAAAGTAGTACATGCTTATTGAAAAAAAAACTAGACAATGCAGACATGTGTGAGGGAAAAAGTGAAGAGGAAGTTCTTCCTCCTCAATCCCCTCAGCCTGTATTCTTTAGAATAATCTCCACGAACTCTTTGGAGCACATCCTGCCAGATATTTTTCTAAGCATATTCATATATATATACAGTTGTTTTTGTTTTTTCAAGCCTCGGATCATGCGAGGCATTCTCCCCTGGAACTTTCTTTTTTTTTTTTTTTTTAATCCATACTGTGCCTTGGGCTTTTAATTTACAGATATCTTTCTGGAAATCCTTGAAATAGAATTCCCTGGCCACTTTAATGCCCATTGAATGGTGCCAGGTCTTTCTACTTTGTAGAGTGAGGTGCCAGCTGAGAAAAGAGGTCTGCTCTTTTAGGCATATCCTGGGAAGGAAATTCCCTGTAAACTCTGGCTTGTATTTTATAGTCTCCCCCACTGGAAAACCTGCCTGACATATAACCCATGTCTTCCCCATATAACTGAAGCCTAGCTCTCTCCCTCTCCCTCTGCTTGTTGGAATAAACTTTGATGTGGATTTTTAAGCCTTGACTATTTAATACAACATCTTTGCTTTGTCTTCTTCCTGCTCTTTGAGGCCCTGTGGTTAAGTGCTGCTCTTCTACACTTTAATGAGACTTCTTCATCTGGACCCCTCCTCTTTCTAGATGAAGGGGTCCAGACACCAGAGCAGGTGTCAAATTGGCTAGCTCTTATCTTCCTTACTGTGCCCTCTGGTTGCCGCTGCTCCTGTCTGAGGGTTTCTATGATGTGATTAAGTCTACAGATAACATTGTCTTAACAATTAAGACTTGTTTCCTAATGCCAACATTCCTCTTCTGTTTTCAGGTGACAGAGGCCCAAAAGGAGAGAAAGGAGAGCGAGGAGACAGAGCCGGGGATGCCAGTAAGGATGTTCTACAGGGGTCACTGAGTGCTGTGGGGGCAGAGGAAGTGTGGCAACACCATCATGTGTTGAGGTTGGAGGTTTCTGGGAGCTTGAGTGTCAAGGAGCCTCCTTGGGCTTACTGTATCTTGTAGTATCTCCAGCAAGAGATACTGGCAGACCCCAAGGGCAAAGGCTACACTTCTAAAGGTGGTAACTGGGACCGTGGTTGTGTGGTTGGATCTGAAGGCACAGTCCCAGTTACCACACTAGCTGGCTGTGAACAATCCCAGTGCCTCTGTGTTCTCCCCTATAAAATGAGAACAATTAGAGTCTTTACCCCATAGGGCTGTGGTGAGAATCAAATGAAAGGTGCTTATTACAGGACACAGGCAGTGATAGTTATTCTATATAATGCACTACTAATTCAGATATTCAGATATACTTCCTGAAATCATTGGACGTGCTTGCACCTCCCTTCCCTGAATATTATAAGGGGAAGGCGACAGAGGCCAAGCGTAATCTCTTCTGTTTCCTCCTTTGCCACTAAAAGGGCCACAGGCTGGAGACCTCCTTACTGGCAGACCACCCTGTGTGGGAGTATGTACCTTTCTACCAACGTCCTTCCTGTACTGGTTAAAAGGGGAGCCGGCTTATCTAACTGTGAAGTACTTTTAGGTGTGTTTTCCCCAAAAGAGCTGCATGTACACTCAGAGATTACCAGGCAACTATGCATAGCGTCTCCTAGCCAAGTTTCAAACAAAAACAGAACACCCGGCCCACCATCCTGTTGGCTCTAAGTGTGGCTGCCCACACAGGGCGTGAGCAGATTAGCACTTCCATGGGCACCTGAGCTCCAGGCTTGGCTCTGGGAGAGCTGGCCCAGAAAGAGTGCCTTGGCTATGTTCTCTTGCAGACACCCAGGGACAGGATCCAGTGCCAACTGGACCAAGATTGCCGCCTTCCTAAAGGGTAGCTGAATGTGCCCTTTGGGATGCTGCCTTCTCCTGCCCTGGTCCTTGGCAGTTTCTGACAGAATTCTGCCAAGGTAGCTGAGAAAGATTGTGGCATTGAGCTCTGATAAATAAACAACTGAGGAGTTATGTGGAAAGATGACCTTTGAGAAAGAGATCAGAAACGCTGCTCACATACCAGTGCGTCTTGTCAGAAACTCTGGCATCTCTTCTTTCAGCTGACTTGAGAGCAGAGACAGGAGGTCAGAGGCAACTATGGATATGAAGGATGCTCTGTCACCAGGCTTTATGGGCAGGCCGAGGTGGGGACATAACGTGGGGAGAAGGGAGCCAGAGCCGGTGGTGTGGGGCTCCCCTGGGGATGGGTGGGAGGCTGGAGAAGGATGCCTGTCCACTTGGCCCTGGAGTCTGTTCACTGCCCAGCCCGAGGCTGATGTCAGCTCTGGGCGCTCCTCCCCAGGGACCGGGCTTTCTTTCCTGCCTTGAGGAAACTACACCCAGAGCTCAGGCACAAAGCTCAAAGCTAGAGCTTCCACAAAGCTCTGAATTTCTTCCAAGATCCCAGCAATGGTCTCCCCGGAGGAAGGAAAAACTGGGAGGTGAGGGGCTCAGCAGAGACAGCTCGCTGGTAGGAGGCTGTTTGCAGCATGAGTCTGGAACGTGGGAGGCACATGGGAAACGTGGAGCCATGAAACTGGAAAAGCATCACCTGTCTCCCCACTGGCAGAGGCTCAGAGAGGACTGACTTCCCTATGACAGGCAGGGACAGGGGCAGAACTGAGCTCTGACTTTCCTGCTTCTGGGATGAGAGCATTGTCCCTGGTGTGGACAGTGGAGTCTTGGACAGTGGGGCTGGGTTCCTTAGACTCCCTAATGACTCCCTCCCTCACTGCTCTTCTAGATACTGAAGGAAGGCCCAGACTGAGGGCATCTGTCACAGTCACTCAGGGATAAGGTCTGTTGCCTTCCCACGGCCTCGACCTCCTAGGCTGCCTCTGGCTGTGCCAAAACCAAGCTGCGTTCCAATTCCTGCTGTGTTTCCAAGGCACTCCCATCCCAGAGGTGTTAAGTATATCCCTGAGACCCAGGCTCCAAGGAGAAATCCAAGGCTCTTCTTTCAGAGAACTGTGGAAATTCTGACTAACATGGTGCCCGCTTCTGGGGATTTCTTAGTCATTTTCTGGGGCCTGGGAAACCCCACCATAGGATCTATGGTGCAAGAAGGAGGATGTTCGCACCAGAGAACTGCCCTCCAAAACCAGCACCATGCAGGAGGGCTATTAACTAGACTGTTCTCTGGTAACCCGACCTTACCTGAGGTGCAAAACCTTCACCAAACACCTTATCCCTGCCTGTAGTGCAAAAACCCGATGTTCCTGCAGGTGGGGATGGGACTACATTAAAGATATTGGTGACAAAAACCCAACTAGCCACCCTTGACCTGGGAATTATCACGGGGGAGAGGTATTCTTTGAGGAGAGTATGACAGAGAAAACCTAGGGAGGTATTTGAGTCAATATTAAAATGTTTTTGAGAACAACGTTCTTGCCAGTGTTTACACATGTTTTGACCTGTGGTCCTGTAACATTAGGGTTTAGATGGCTTTCAGATCACTTCCTTTCTCTCTTCCAACCCTACCTCACCTCACAAGTTCACTGAACAAACAAAGGAGAACAGAGAGGTGGGGAGGTCCCAAGGTCACCCCACTTAGATTGAGGTCAAACTGAGTCTAGAGTCCAGGTCTTCTGATGTCTACTGGATGAGAAGTAAAGGTTGTTTTTTTATTTTGTTCTTCCCAGATCTATCAGTCATTCCATTGAATGCTAGTCTTTTTGGAAGTTTGGCCAGGAAAAAAAAAATCATATATACATCTTGAGAGAGAAAGACATTTGTTTTACCATAGTATACGGTCTGCTTACAAGAAAAATAAATAATATTTTTGTACTGAGGGGGTAGGTAAAGAATTCGGTTTTGTTTAAGTCCCAGGGCATGAATTTAAAGCAGGCTATATATTCAGATTGTTTTACAAACTTTTCTCAATTTTGGTTTCACATGGAAAAAAATATGCAGCACAACACAGGGGTAAATTCTAAGCCAACGTTTGTTGATAGTTATCATTGGAAGCTTAGAAAACTTGAAAAGTGTTTAACACTTTGTGGGTGTTTTCCATACTTAGGAAAGTTTGGGGGCTGGATCCCAAAGGACCCCCCAGCATGCAGTGTGGGTTCAAACTAAATGATCAGGGGAAGGGTTTCTAGACAATTTCCCCATAGCTTCTGGGATGTTTCAATCTCTGTTTTTGAACAAAGGAAGCAAAGAGAGTCCCTGGAGTCTTCAGATTCCCTCCTCCTGTCCCTGTGCCCTAGGGAACGTGTTCAGGATACTGTTACAAAAATGAGTTAGCCTCATCTCAGGCTGGGGAGACAAGACTGTGGTATTCTTTATGAACCAATAATATTTCTTTATTAACCACACAGTCAACCTTAATTCCTAATATTCCTTGATAGCCCAGCAACAAGAAGACTGAAGAGTAAACGACGCTTCTAAGAAAAATTAAGCACTTAGGTAATACTACCAGTACATGCTGCACTTGGCAGGTGAGACGTGTAGTTTCTGCACGCAGAGATCACTCAGTTCTCACTGACAATATACAAGAGGCATGATTACATCCTTGAGTTACTTGAAGAGGCTTGGAGGAGAAGATGATAAGGGACCCGGCAGTGGTTACCAGAGTTTGTAAGGGACAGAGCCAGGACACGAATCGGGTCTGCTTGGCCTGGAGTCCACACTACCCATCCTTCTCCTACCATCTTTGATTATCTTCTGTGCATCCTGGGGTCCTCCTTGGCAGTGCTGTCTGTCCTGAGTTGGTTAGAAGGAAGGTGTTAATTCTTTCTTAGACTCTCAGTTTCTTTTAAGGGACTCTGTTTAGAGTTTGCTGTGCACTTGGTCAGGCCTTGGCTGCCTCACCTGCCTGTGAGGCTCTGAGCCGGGCCTGAGCAGGCCTTCACAGGGCAGGCTCTGTATCTGTCAGCGAGGCTCTTAGCTACATGTGCCTTTCCTGCTTCCTAATTGTACAGGGCAACAGAGCCAACAGGTGCAGAGGCAGTGTGCATGTCTCTGTGGTGTTTATTCACTCATGCATTCGCTCAGTTTATGCATTCATTCACTCACTCATTCATTCTCTTTATCCTTAGAGTATCTAGTAAGCCCTCAGCAGATGCAAACACAAAAGCACATGCATAAGTGGAAAAGGATTTTTCAAATATTTCCTCCCCAAAGTTTATGCTTAGTAACTAAAAATACCTAGGGACACAAAGTTCACTCAAGAAAATTGCCCTGACTGAGTATAGTGGTGCATGCCTGCAATCCCAGCTACTCAGGAGGGGGTGGGGGGAAATAGAAGGACCACAGTTCAAGGCCAGTCCAGGCAAAAAGCGTTAGTGAGACCCTATCACAAAAACCAAACTAGAATGATAGCACATGCCTGTAATCTCAGCTACTCAGGAGACGGGGGTAGAAGGACTGAGGTCTGGGGTAGGGGGTGCTGGGAGTGTGGCTCAAGTCGTACAGCACTTGCCTGGCAAGCTCAAGGCCCTGAGTTAAAACCCAGTACTTCTCCCCACCACCACCAAAAAAAAAAAGAAGAAGAAGAAAATTGTCCTGAGGTGACAACCAAAGCAGGATGGGAACACCAGAAAGAACAAGGAAATGGCAATGAGGGCATGCTGAGAACAAGCTGAAACTGAGCAGGGTGGGCTCAGGGAGCAGGATCAGAATACAGGGCTGGGGCAGAAAGGGCTGTGGAAAGGAGCAGCAGCGGGGGACAAATGGACACTCAGGAAGTGGGGATCTGGTCTCCCCTATTCCTCATAGCACAGAGGAAAGTGTTTAGGAAGGAAGCACTGGGTTATTCACTTCTTTTCAAACCTTTGTTGAGCATTTGCCATATATCAGGAGCTTAGTCTGCTGGGTGAGAAAGACTTACCAGCAATTGCAGAGGACTCTGGGAAGGACTATGGCAGATAGAAGTAGGGACAAAGTCAG